TTCTAAAATATGCTATAAAATATGACTAGTTATGAGTTAATTCTTTTATTTTCTCTTTTTTTACAATAGCTTCATTAAAATATGGAAGATTATGTAGAAAAAAGCAAGAGCCATATATTCGTGAAATGCGTAATATTCTAACTGAAAAAGCCATATCACCTATGAGAATAACAAGCTTAAGAGGTTTTCGAAAGGGGTATCTCTAAGGCTCCCATTTGGTACTAAGGCCAAAGGTCAGTTCTAAAGTGTCTGGAATATTTGGACACTTATGAATTTTAGTCCTCAAGTACATATAGTACTGTTTTAGCTTGTTTGTGGAAGTTTCTATAGTTAGTATTATAATCTAATTAGCTAAATTACCTCTACATTACATAGTGAACAATTTGCTTCAATAAAAGCTACATGCTTATTATTTAATCACATATTTATTAAGCACCCACTGTATGCTAGCCAGTTTACTGGGAGCCAGGTATACGAAAATAAATAAAATACATGCTTTGTCCTCTTGTGATCAAAGTCATTGTAAATTGTTTGTGATAAGGGTAAAGGAGTATAAGGTGTGGAGGGCAAGAATAAAATATAGTAGTGAATAATAACAGCTCTTACTTATTTAGTGTTTCCTCTGTATCAGGTACAATGCTCAGTTCTTTGTGTCATTTCATTTACTTTTGACACTGACACCTTGACGTAGGCATTACCCATTTTGCAGGTGGGAAAATGAAGACCCAGGGAAGTTAAGCCAATTGTTCAATTTCACAGAGCTAACAAGTGACAAAGGTGGGAGTTGAGCCTACATTTTAAAATATTTGTAAATTTTTGAAGCTATTATTACATTCATCAAAATATGTGCAACTAATTGAAATTTCACAAAATTTAACAAGAAGGGGAACAAGATTAAAGAAATACATTTCTGTAATGGTGAGCCCCAACTATGCTCTCCACACACTGGGATGTAAGCCATTTGCTTTTTGAAGCTATTATTACATTCATCAAAATATGTGCAACTAATTGAAATTTCACAAAATTTAACAAGAAGGGGAACAAGATTAAAGAAATGCATTTCTGTATTTTCAGTGAATGAAATTCTTTATATGATCTTTTGAGTAAACATTGTAGATAAGACCTTTCTATTTCTCCTCATAGCATCTGGCACATAGAAGGCACTAAATAACAAAAAAGTAAATATTAACAAGTGCTAGGTTATCTCTTCTGAAGCAAGCATACGTCTATATGAGTAACATTTATTTAATATCTTCTTTAATTTTTTCCAGTTTTCCTTTTGGACACCAGGGGCCCAACAGGTCTTTAGTTTCCTGACAAAAAACCAAAAAGGCTAGAAAACCCTTCCACTTACTGGAGATGTTGATTAGAAACTTAGCTAGACTTTTGCATATCCAGGGGCACAAACAATTGCTGAGGTTCAGGAGGCGTGATGCCTGCAGTGTCTGACAAATGGCATGATCACACCCAGGGAGGTGGGAAGAATGAGGGAAGAAAAAAGCTATGCTTTTCTTGAACAGAGGCTCTCATGGTTGTTCAGCTCTCCCCAATTTCTTTCAGTGTGTCTCATTTTTCTTTCTTTTCATGTCAAATCCAAAATAAGTAACAAATTCTCAGCATTCTCCCAACTTCCTCATTTCCCACATCCTCAATCTGACAAGCTGTCTACAAGTAACTCTTCAAACACTCATAGTGGGGAGAGTTAATACAAAGTTTGGGGGCCACAATGGGTGAAGAAAATATCAAATCTTTTCAATAGAATAAAAAAATGAATTCTAGCAAGTCATTATGGAGAATTTGCGGGGTATCTTTGCAAAGCAGCCTTACAAAGTCCCAAGTGTTAAGAGTACTGGCTTAAGAGTACAACTTGCCATGTTTATTATCAATTACTGTGCTCTGTGGGACAATAATTTCTTAGAAGTTATTTTAAATGCATTACTTCTTATGATTATGAGTTTATTAAGAAAATTTTCATAATGGATGGTGTTCTACATTTGCTCTGCTATTTCAGGAAAGTAATCCTTCTTTGTCTAAAGCTGCTGCATTAGGATTTGCTTATGAAACTGTCTCAATGATTTTCAGTCAATAAATTATAATGTTCCTACCAAGTATTATTTGTATTTAGCAAAAGTGACACTATTAAAATGATGTTTATTAGAAAGGCTTCAAGATTTTCTAAACACCAGAAATATAATCATTACAATTGCTATTGAAAACTGTTAAAATGATAAAATCAGCATTGACAAATATTGTGTGGATACTTGCTTTTCTTTAAAGAATCTCATTGGATGTAGGTAATTTATCCCACGGATAAATTTATTAAAAGTGGAAATTAAGATGTTATTATTAAATTCAGAAAAAAAGTAAATTTAATGACTGTAAAAATTTAAGTTTAGCCAAAATAATTTATTCGAAAACTAATTGAATTATAAGCCCTCCAATAGGAGGTGTATGTGGGAGCGGGGAATTAATATTTGGTACAAGGAAGAAAATAAATACATTTTTATTTTCCGTATATATGTAAATACATATAATATATTATATATAAAGTATGTGCATGTATGTTATACATGTATATGTATATATCTATAGTGTACCTAAAATATTACACAGAGAAGGTAAAATATCAAACATCTCATAGAAAGTACAGAAAGTGACCTCTGAAAAGATCAAATGTGATAAGTAAAATTGCTTTCAAGCTTGTAACATAAATCTGATGCTGTAGTGAATAAATTTAGTTTTATGGAAAATTTTCCTAAAGGATTGTTATATTCATAAAATGGCAAGAAATTTCTTCGTAGTTGAGTAACGCATCATAAGCCTCATTGCCCTTCAGTAGTAAAGCTTTGGGGAAAAAAGGGCTTGTCTGAAATATCACTGCATTAGCTCTCCTTTTCCAGAGAGTTCAATAGCCAAAGACAGTAATAAGATTACAAAGGAAAACACCACCCTCTCTTCCCCCAAATTCTATTGTAAAATGCCTTTCCTTCAATTGCTGTACTTATCCAAACAACGTGGCATAGATTTGCCTTCCTAAAGTTGCAAAAATTATTACTTTGAATACAGAAAAATTAAATCAGTATAGTCACAATCGTGAATATTACAAATTTTATAAATTTTTAGTCAATAAGACAAAGATAAAAAGTGATGATGTTGTCAATTTTATTTTCTATTTAGTTTTAGCTATGTTAAATTCAGTATTCAGGTAGAATAAATTCATTATGAAAATGAAGATCACATTATAGATACACAACACTGTTATAAGAAAAAATAACTTTCAAAAGTATAAAAAGCTAATGCCACATGTTATTTATAAAAGATAGCTAATATAATTATTAATTATGTTTCTTGTCTACTTTCTCTCATTAGACTATAAGTTCCATTGAGTGCAGGATTTTTATCTGTTTTGTTCTCTGACATATCCCCAGGGCCTATTACTGTGTCTAGCAAATAGCAGACGCTCAATAAATATTTCTAAATAGCTGAATTTATCAATCAATTTTATTTAACAATAGCATTTATCATTACAGTGTATCAACATATAAATAACAACATACACAAAGGAAAGACAAATGGAAGAACAGCAACACTGTATCAATTTCAATCAAAATGAATGATTTTCAATGCTCACGCTCAGCCTTATTCTGTATCTAGGTATCTGTATGGTGCATATTACAATGTCTAGCCAACTCCATCTGTGTTGAGAGTGTTCAGCTGAATTCCATGCAGATGCCAGAATCTCATTCATCTACAAGGAACTGTATTTTTTTCAAAAGGAATGAGGTGGTAGGGATGTTATAGCTGCTGGGCTACCATTTGCAACAAGAGCACATACAAAGAACATTCTCAGGGAAAGAATTCTAGTATGTCTTTTTGAATTACTGAATGATTATGCAGTTGCAAATACCAGAGGTATTATTTATATAAAGATTACATTTTCATACAAAAAGACATATACTAGTATTGTACTATTTTGATAGCAAAAATATTGATGGCATCACTGTCAAACAGGTAACTTTACAGAATATTCTTTATATATACAGGAAACAGATGTTTTCAGTCATTTTTACTTATTTTTTGATAGCATGCTTCCTGAAAACTAGCCATGCTTGCAAAATTAATTCAGTATTTTGGTTTTAAGAATTACACGTCCAGCCCCTTTAATAACAGGGATGGAGAGGAAATTCTCTACATTACACCTATAATGCACATTAAAACACTTTATTTCACACAGAACAGGCAAATTTCAAAAAATTCTTTAAAGAAAACAACCGTATATGTTCAGAAAACATGCACATAAATTCGGAGATATTTAGTGATAGAAAATCTACTCTTGGAAATAGGAGTGGTATAATTCCATCATTTACATACAGCGACCTCATTTCAAGATATAGGTGGGAATTGATATGTCAGAATCTCTAAGTGATTCTTTTTCAATATCTATTTATTTTCTTGAGAGAGATGAAGATTAATTCTTCTTTTGTTCTAGTATCTCAGAAAAGTCACAGAACTTTACAAAAATTTATTTTTTCTGGTAGTCCAGAGTTGGTCATCCAAGAAGAATCCCACATGAAAAATAAGCTTAAATTTACTACACTGGAGAACAAGCCTTGAGCCTTAGTTAGGAATGGTCGAACAGCGTGGAACTCTTTTCTTTCTTGATCAATTTCTTATAATAGGATTCTTCATCAGAGGCTGAAAAGAGGAGGACTGTACTGAAGTATGACTTTCCATTACTGTGTCTTTTTTTTTTTAGGAAAAGAAATATATATATATATTGCTTTTCAAGTCCCATGCAAATATTACACAATTAAGTTAGAAGGTTTACACACAAACTGCTGTTGGTTGGTTTGCATTCTAAAATCATGAACTTATGATCAAGGCTTGGCAGAGTACATTAAATTACTAACTGGTGATGTAACACAGATAAAACTAATTGCAACATTTGAAAACTTCTTGCTGGCGTTTTCATGCTTTGACCTCAATGTCACTTTTGGAAACAACTTGACATTACTAAAAACCTAAAACTAAAATTATGAAAACTGAAAACTAAATTACATAAAATACTTTCATTTTATTTAGAGTAAGGGCTTCCATAAATAATTTAAAATATGCTTTGCCTACAGAGACAGTGAGCTGAGGATATATAACTTTACATTAGATAGAAAAGGTCACCGATTGTTGATCTCCTTTGACTAGCATTGACTCTAAAGGGCATGTTTGACTTTAGAAGAGAAAAATATATATGATATTCTATTATTTAAAAGGTAATTTCATGAGAATCTCTTTGAGGAAACAGACTTAGAATTTAGAGTATTTTTCATTTTCTGATGCAACCCAATGAAGCAATCATAGCTTTTGTAATTCTTAGAAGTTCAATAAATCATATTATGTATTTCTCATTGGTCAATGAGAAAAATAATCGGTGCAAAAAAACGCTTTCTACATTAAAAATAAAGTAAAACTAAATTAATTTTGAAAGCATTTAGTTATATAAACATGCTCATTAAAATCTTCACATTCACATCTCCACTATTAGAAACAGACAATGCAAACCATAACCCGATGATTAAGCTACCTGAAAATTATAATTTTAAACACCATTAACTATTATTACATTGATGTTTTTAAAAACATAATAACAATAATAATATGATGTTTACTACTGGATATTTTTATGTGATTGGTTGTTGACCTTTGTCATGATTGTTGTTTTGTGTTTTGGGATCTTAGTATTTCATACATTTCCAACTAGAGTTTGACAGTCTCAATTTTTAACATCTGAGCATTTTTCCAAGAACAACAATGCAACAAAAGATAATACAAATAAAAATACTGAATGTACTCAAAGCTCAGGACAAACCTATTCAAAGCCTTAATAGACTTTTGTGGATCAAAACACCAGTGTTATCACTGCTAAGATTCAGCTTTCACCCTCCCTGTTCACCATAGCGGGGGGGTTACAATTGCCTATGGACAAAATGGAACACCATAAAGCATAGACCAAAACTTACCATGATTGTGGTTACAACCACTGTTCTGTTCTCAATAGCTGCTGTGTCATTGCCAAGAGTGGGTACGTCTTGAATTAAGACTAATTTATCCATATCGTTCCAGTAACCAACCTACAAAATACAGAAAATGCTTGAAAACATATTTTAGAAAATTTTACTTTAATTATTCTTAGAACAATGAGGGGTGTAAATAAGTAAGCAAACAAAACATACTTAAAAAGCAACTAAAAAAATGTGTTTGCAAATTTTCTTAGTTGATGATGAACCAGTTTTTCTGCCTTGTTACATATCTGGCAAATTTATAATTTACAATCATGAAGTAGCCAAGGCATTGGGAATGGGTGGTTCCAAAAGGAGTATAGACACACATGGAACATCATTTTATGTTGATCTTCTCTTCTAGTGAGATGGACTTACATGCCTTAAAATTAATTTGCATGACTTTATCAGTAAAGTTACAGGCCACATGGTAAAGGGAACAGCCAGATTTATTTAAAAAAAAAAAAAACAACATATATAGGATATTTTCAAACAAAGGAAACTTGTGTATTTTTAAATCAATATAGAAGTGGGTTTTGGTTTGATATAACCTAACCACAATATAAGAAATCATACCATTTCTGAAATGCTAACTATATCAGAGATGAATATGAAAGAACACTGTTTTCGCTTTCAAAGATTACATTTAAATTTATATTTTTTTGCATTTTCAAATTATATTATTTTTATCATTCAGAATTAAAACACTTTCCCATAAAATAAATCAAGTAGTTAAGCACTTTAAAAAAGTAGTGACTTACAATGGAATCTTAGTGAAAACTTAGGATTCTTTGATTCATGCAGGCCATTAAGTAATAATAATGGCTACCACATATTGAGTGCTTTCTCTGGGGCAGACATTGTATTCAGAACTTTTAAAAATATGCATCTTAGGCCGGGCGCGGTGGCTCACGCCTGTAATCCTAGCTCTCTGGGAGGCCGAGGCGGGCTGATTGTTTGAGCTCAGGAGTTCGAAACCAGCCTGAGCAAGAGCGAGACCCCGTCTCTACTAAAAATAGAAAGAAATTAATCGGACAACTAAACCGGGCATGGTGGCGCATGCCTGTAGTCCCAGCTACTCGGGAGGCTGAGGTAGGAGGATCGCTTGAGCCCAGGAGTCTGAGGTTGCTGTGAGCTGGGCTAACGCCACGGCACTCACTCTAGCCAGGGCAACAGAGTGACTCTGTCTCAAAAAAAAAAAAAAAAAATACGCATCTTAATGTTAACACACATAGTAAATGTAGAGAAGGTACAATTATTATCCACATTTTAGAGATGAGGACCTGTTTTAGAAGGCTAAATAAACTACACACGGTTACACTTTAGTGGGGCCAGAAATCAAAACTAAGGTCTGCATGGCACTAAGTCCGCACACTTTGCTATTAAGCTGCACAGCTTCCCAAAATGGGTGTTCATTTAATGATTGCCAAACTTGTTTCTTGAATTTCTTGATGCATTTGATAATAAAACTCATGTCTTCAATAAAATGTATGTATTTGTTCACTGGTCTGTATTCACTATATGTTCTAATATGTTTTGGAAGTCTCCCTTGCCTCATTCAAGTTTCTTAACTGCCACGTTAGTATTGATGAGCATATCAAAACAAAGGAAGTGTTAACATGTCAGAGAGAGCCACTATATTATTCACAAGTGTTGCATATATAATTCAATAACAGAACAGATGGAGAAAAAGAATTTTCATGAACATGGCTTGCTATACTTCTTGGTTTGATCTAAAATTATGGTATACATAAGTTCAGCAATTATTCAGTTGTCCACGTAAATCTACTTCTAGCTGACATTTAGTAATTGTGTGAAAAATTTAAGAACAAGTATACCTTTTAGTATACTTGAGTACACCTCAATTCCTTTGTGTACTTTAGGACATGTGAGTTGCTTCCTGTTAATTTTCCTTTTCACAGGACAGTTATATGACATGAAAATGAGTTTTACGGTTTAGCACTCTACTAAGATGCAGCCACCCTGCAGATCCCAGCAGCCCATTTTCAGGAAAGACAGTTTTTCTGTACTAATGAATCCCACAACAGAAAAAAATCTGGGATACATTTTGGAGAGTCCTCAGATACTGGCAAGACCTTGACATTTTGCATTTAAGAACTAATCTGTGGATTTACAACCATCCTCTCTAAAAGATAAATGCTCACAGGCGCTGGCAAATTACTAAGCAAAATTTTATTTTCTTGCTTTATATCTACATATAATTCTGGTGAAAAAAGAAAGCCATGCTTTGTGATAGGGACTGCGTGATGGTAGACTTCATGTGGAACATGGACTTAGTGAGAAGTAAGACCTCACAGGGTCAATTTCTAAAGAAAGGAATTGTAAAGTTTGGACCTACGACATCACATGAGATGGAGTTTTTCTCCAGTTCTTCACAATATTTTACAGGTTACTGAGAACTTTTCCCATCCCTGACCTCATTTAATCAGACAGGGAAATATGTATTTTTTCCTAGAAACAGAAAGTGGGTGAAAAGTGGCTTTGTAATGCTACAGCAAAAATATGGAAGCATTTAAATTATAAAACAGACAAGGGATGTCAGAAAAGCATTCATCTTCTTTGGACCTCTAAAGGTGATGTGTATGCAAATATAACTATAATAAAATGTGTGAGCAAATGTTTCTGTATTTACAGGGGTCTTGGCCTTCCGGGAACACAGGGACTGGGTAGGGAGGGGCTGTGAGGAACTCCTGTTCTACTCGAAGCTGGTTCCTTGGAGAGCTGCTTTGACCAGACCTCTCCTGAGAAATCCGACCTAATTCCCACACCAGCTCTAAATAGAACCCTGACAGGCACTGAGACTGATATGTTTCACAGCAGTCAAGATAGCGAGCTGTGGAGCTGCAGGAATTTCGATTTTCACTGCAGCTCTACCTCTTTCTAGCTGAGCTTCCCTGGGCAGGTTACTCAGTTTCTCTGAACCTTACTTTTCTCTTCTATAAAATGAA